AGTCAGAACTGACCTGGAATGTTCTGGAATCTCCTTCAGCTGTTCTGGTTTGTTTTCCAGATTTAGAAGCTAAATGGATCGAATGTTTGAGAAGAAAGATGCGAGTCTCCGTGTCAGAGCGGAGGAATGTTTAAAGCTAAAGATGTGAAAACCTTTTCTGTATTAAAGTCCTGAGTAGCCTCCCCACATCTGCTCTTCCAGGTCTCCTCTGATCTCATTCATGAGCAGAAGGACCGTTGCCACGGAAACAGAGAAGAGTCTAACCTGGTAGAGGTCGAATCCTTGCGACTCAGTGGCGTCGTAGGGTCGGATGACGCCGTCCTCCTTGATGAGACGGACCGGCCGGAGTTTGGTCACCTCCTCCGTCGCCTCGGCCGCTCTGACATCACACACAGAGAAGATGGAGGTGATGAAAGCTGCTTTGAACCAGGCTGTTCTGATTCTGACTGGACTCTGACCCAAAGCACATTCGCTTCTGGTGCACGCCATGCTGCAGGCAGCGTCACCCAGGCAACAGTTCTCACCTGTGGGGGCCTCTAGAGTGACAGCATGAAACAGCGACTTCAACAGGTTATCAGGGATTTATGGGGTCACCTGACAGATGGATCCTCCAATCAGGAGGAGGAAATGTTTGGGAGCAGGAAGGAATCAGAGGAGGATGAATTTTATCTAAAGACTCCAGCTAATTGGAGTTTTTCCAGTTTTTTATTGAAGGTAAATATATTTCAAACTTCATTCACGACCTTAAATAGTATCTGAGGAGCAATATTTAAACTCTGAAGGTTTAATTTGGACTGAAATAAATCGGCAAATGAAAAATCAAGAAGTTTTAGCGCTTGTAGCCCAGCAGGGACATGGTGAGAGTTAGTCAGAACCATGAGAACCTCCAGCCGAGTCCCCGAGGAGTTTCCCTCCGCTGGAACGGCTTCTAACGTCTAAAGCATCTCAGATCCAACCAGACGATGTTTTCAGTTGACCTGCTGGTTAACTCCTTTTCTAGGAGCTCCATCGGCAGCGGTTGCTGGTCCTCCTCGGGGGCGGGGCCAGCAGAATGATGGGAGACGCCACAAGCAGGTTAGACTCGGAGAACAGCACGACTTGGATGCCGTGGATGAAACCTGACATCAATGCCATGCGTAACTTACCGCCGCTGCAGCAGCATTCAACATGCAAACATCTGCAAACATCTGGGTGAATCAGCAGCACAAGTCAGAAAAGCTGCAGGGAACATTCAACATGAAACCAGAGGCTGATGGAGGAGCTCAGTTCATGGGAAATACTCACACACCAAACAGCGAGGAACAGAAAGAACAGAAAACGTGAAAATTAGACAAGAAAAACAGAGACTGCGCCACGTAGCGAGGCCCACCGACACCACAGAAAGTCTACAGACCGTCAGAGAAACCACGTCAACAAGGAAACGCGTGAGGGTCCGGACGCTACCTCTGGATTCCCTGGAAGGTGCTGCTGGCCATGTCCACGATGCCGCCGGTGGGCCGGGCCACCACGCCCACCAAACCTTTCCCGATCCCCTTAAAGAATCCGGCCGCCCCCTCCTTCTTGGCTCCTGCAGACCACATTAGTTCAGGGTCAGTCAATATGGGGGGAATCTGCTTCCATTATTGTTAAAGGCAAAGAAAAAAAAAAAAGGATTCCAAAAATAAAACTTATTTATCTTCAAATTCTATATCTCAAATTTTCACTTTTTCAGATTAAATTTTCTAAATTTCCTTTTTTTCACGTTGAATTTTTCCGATGACATTCCCTTCACGTCAAAACGCTCCTGATCAATAAATATGTTGTTGCTAACATCCAGTGGACCAATAGAAACGCATCTCTGTTTGTTGTAAAATTTATGCAATTCATAAAAAAAAAAAACATTTTAAAATAAGAGGAAAGGAAAAAAAATTTTTGAGAAATAAAATCTGTGTAAAAAGTTCATCTCAAAATGTTTCTTTGATTAAGAAACTTTTCAAAGGTCCATTTCTAGATTTTAAATTTCTGTCTTCTTTGCAACACTAATAGCAGACGTTAATCCCAGAAGATCCGGTTCTGGATCATTTTAGGACAGATGATGATTTATTTGGGGAATCTGCTGCTTCTGGACAACATTTAAGTCTGATTTAGAAGATCTGATAGAATGTTTGGATCAGCTAGAAGCTCTTCTGAGGAACCTGTTCCAGAGCACTGAAATCTTCCATCAGGTCCAGAAAAATCCGAAGGATCTGGATGATCTGATTCCAGAAAGTCAGTCTGGGAATAATCCGAGTCTCTGGGAATTCTGCATAAACACTCAGGACTGTAATTCGTTCCTAAATCAAATTTTTTGGAATTCCTGTTCTGCAAAAAGACGTGACCTTTGCACCAAGGAGCGTACCTTCCACAGGTTTAGTGACGATGCCTGTAACTCCGCCCACGACGCCCTGCATAGAGACAATGATTACTGAGAGGCCTGAGGCGGTGCCGGCGCCCAGAGGAGGTTCTTCTTCTGCACACCTTCAGCAGACCCTTCCCCCCTTTGGCCAGACTGCCTTTGAAGTCCCTGGTGGGTCGGTTCATTTCCTCCCGACGCTCCTGCTGGAACTCCTTATCCATGGTGATGACTGCCAGGCCTTTGCCCATGGATCCGGTGATCTTGGAGAACATTCCGGCGGCGCCACCTGCAGGAACAACCAAACATGTTGGAGACACAGACTGCAGAGTTCTGGTTCCCCCGTCATCGTTCACCGAGTTCCCTCACCGACAGTTGAACCAAGCAGGCTGCGGACGCCGATGGCAAAACCTTCTGCAAACTCTTCCGGGCCTTGAACAGCTCCCTGAAAGACCAGCAGAACCAGAACCTTCAGTGGATCGGATCCTCCAGTGCTGCCGGCTTTGAGCTACCGGCTTTGGTCTACCTGAAACGGCTCGTAGAAGAAGGCCTCCACCCCTTCAGACAGGCCTCGGATCAGTCCGAAAGGATTCCCCAGGACATCCAGGCCCAGAACCAGAACATACATCTGCTTCAGGAACTGCAAGGAGAACCAGAACCTTTAGAAGCCAGAACTCTGGAGGCTCAGGCAGAGCGGCGGGAGCCATTACCTCCTCGGTGTAATGTCGGCCCACGGCCCACATCAGCTTCTCTTTGCTGTAGAACTGGTACTTCACCTCGAAGAAGGCCAGTCTGACACAAACAGAGGAGAAACGTCAGAGGAACCACCAACCTCAGCAGATCCGTCCGGGCCAGCGGCACAGGCTTACTTGAAGATGATGTCATCAACGTTGGTCAGCGTAGCCCCGATGCTTTTCAGGACCAGGTTCAGGGACTGGGTGATGGGGTTCTGCTGGGCAGAGTCGCCATCGCTGGAGCCCAGAGACAGACTGAGGTGGAGCTGGAAAGAAAAGCCGGAGCAGTGAAACCGGAACGAACTGAACAAACCCAGAGAGGACGGGACGTCTGGCGTTACCTTGATGGGTGAGATGTGAAAAAATTCAAAGAAGCTGATTCCTGAGCCATCTGCCAGGGAGGCGTCCGTCGGCTCTGCCTGCAGACGCTTCAGGTCTCCTTCGATCAGCCCCGACTGAAACAAAAACATCTCAGACCAACGTCTCATTCACGACCTTTAGAGGAAATACCGTCTCTGCTCCTCTTCACCTTCTGTCCGTCATTCTGCAGGTTTGCAGCCGGAGCAAACAAAGCCGCCACAGCGTCCAGGAAACCCTGGTCGATCTTCACGGCCATCTCTTGAACTAAGGCCATGAAGTACCTGAAAAACAGACGGAACCTTCAGAGGGCCGCTCTGGACGCCGTCAGCAGCCAAACATCCAGACCTCCTTACTTGAACTGCATGACGCTGCTGTGCTGGTTGAACCTCATGATGACCGACATGTCCATGAAGGGCTTTGGCTCTACGGAGGCACAACTCAGCGTTACACTTTCTGAACACTTTTCAAGGTTAAGGCTGGTTTATGCTCAGAAACCAGGTCGTCTGCGTGTGTCGCAGTGAACGCAGATAAGCCCCGCCCCCTTCTGCAGACACTCTGCTGCTCCTCTCCCAAATTGTAGATGACCTCAGACAGGAGGCCTCTGATTGGTCAGATCTCCATCCGCTCTACTCTATGGTTATTTCCTGTTTGGTTCCTTACCGGCTGGTTTTGTTTGTCTGACCGCCATTGTGGAAAACGACTGGTGAAGATGGAGCAGCTAGCAGAGCGAGGTGAGAATGCTGGGACCCTTTTTCCACCTGGATCCCCGCTCTTTTTGGCCCTCATGTTCCTCCGTTGTCGCACAAACTTGCCCCCACTTCCTCACCGCCTCGGCCGTATCTAGACCCACAGCTAGTTCCTGATTGGCCCTCTGGCGTTGTGGCGTGGAATAACATAGCGCAGACCACGCTTCAATATTGGGCATCAGAAATATCTGAGATAAGTTCACTGTGACACACTGCTGCAGGAGGAGGGGGATAACCAGGCCTTCAGCTGGTATTAGAGGCTTACCTGAGTCCAGAGCGATAGACTTTGGTGGAGGAACTGGATGGAAGACGATGGGGAAGACGGCACCTGGCAGCTGGTTGTCCACCTGCAAGCAATGGAAAATCTTTGGTCACGCAGGTGAATGAGGTGCAGGACCTGAGAGAAGCTCATCAACACCGTCTTCAAATGTTTCTCCATTAATGGTTATTGGATTAAAATGAGTTTCATCCCATTAATTGAAACTGAATTGAAAGCAGAATCCAAATGAAAATCGTCGCTGAGGGCTAATCAGGAGAAGGTTTGGTAAATCAATGCCTGGAGGATAACATGGTTTACTGGATAGAAACCGTTAACCAGTCGGACAGCATTGACTCTGTAATGTGTGAGAAGACATGCTGTGAATAGGCACTATAGAAATAAACTGGATTTATTGAAACTTTAATTAATTGATAAGTTCACCCCCAAACACCAGACGTCATTTAGACTTTGGCTTTTAGGCTAAATCTGGTCGGTACGTCATAGTCCTGATTTACTCCAGAAATGGTTGTTAAAGTCGTAGGGAAATAATATTTAAGTCAAATCATTCAGGCTTAAACACGTATATTAATGTATCCTTTATCAGACCATATTGTCCCAAAATTTAGAAAATTTATATTGTAATTGTCTTAAAATCTGTGTTTTTTCTCCGTTATCTTCTGCAGGCCAGTTAGTTCTACATCAGCCTGAACACCTAAATTTGGCCAATCATATATCAACGGTCATCTGTCAATCAAATGTTTTCGGTCATAGCATCTTGACGCAACGGTTGAAACCAGAATCCTTTCCTTTCCCATTGAGTTGCGTCCCAGTGTTCACGGGGATGGACGTCTGTGTCTTCGGCAGGCGTAGAGCTAACAGAACTGGCAGCGTTGCGAGGCAAGGGCTCAAACATGTGCGGCTGGAAGCCTTCTACACCAAACCAAGCTTCTGCCGCCCTGGCGTCCTCTTCCACAACAATGTCTGGCTTGGCAGCATCCCCTTTCTCGATCACA